TTTTCTGCAAATAATAACAATTTGACTTCTTCATTTCCTATCTTTATTCCTTTTATTTCTTTCTCTTGTCTAATTGCCATGGCTAATGTTTCCAAAACTCTATTGAACAGGAGTGGTGATAGTGGGCATCCTTGTCTTGTTTCTGATTTTAGTTTGAAGGATTTCAGTTTTTGACCATTTAGTATGAGATTGGCTGTTGGTTTTTCATAGATGGCTTTTCTCAGATTGAGGTAGAGACCATCTATTCCAGTTTTTTGTAGGGTTTTTATCATAAAGGCATGTTGGATTTTGTCAAAAGCTTTTTCTACATCTGTTGAGATGATCATATGGTTTTTGTCCTTGACTCTATTGATATAGTATATTACATTTATTTATTTGTGTATGTTGAACCATCCCTGCATCCCTGGGATGAATCCCACTTTGTCGGGGTGTATAATCTTCTTGATGATCTTCTGCATTCTATTTGCCACTGTCTTATTAAGCATTTTTGTATCTGTGTTCATTAGTGAGATTGGCCTGTAGTTCTCTTTTTCAGTTGGATCTTTCTCTGCTTTGGGGATCAAGGTGATGCTTGCTTCCAGGAATGAATTCGGGCGTATTGCTTCCCTTTCAATTTCTTTGAAGAGTTTAAAGAGTAGTGGCAGTAGTTCCCTCTAAATGTCTTATAGAATTCGACAGTGAAGCCATCAGGACCCAGGGTTTTCTTAGTTGGTAAGGTTTTAATTACGTTTTCAATTGCATTGGTTGATGTTGGGTTGTTTAGAATGGTTAGGTCTTCTTCGTTCAACCTTGGTAATACATACATGTCTAGGAATCTGTCCATTCTGTGTTTTCCGTCTTATTGGCATATGGGTTCTCGAAGTAGGTATTGATGATCCTCTGGATTTCTGCTGGGTCCGTTGTAATTTCACCCTTTTCATTCCTAATTACATGGATTTGGGCCGTTTCTCTCCTTTTTCTGATAAGGTTGGCAAACGGTTTGTCAATTTGGTTTATTCTTTCAAAGAACCAACTCTTGGCTTTATTGATTTTTTTTGTATCATTCTCTTAGTCTCCATTGAATTGATTTCTGCTCTGATCTTTATAATTTCCTGCCTTGTATGAGTTTGGGTTTGTCCTGCTCTTTTTCTAGAAGCTTGAGGTTCAGCAGCAGGTTGTTTAATTGGGCTTGCTCTGTTTTCTAGAAGCTTGAGGTTCAGCATCAGGTTGTTTAATTGGGCTTGCTCTGTTTTCCTAATATGAGTATTCACTGTTACGAATTTCCCTCGTAAGACTGCTTTCATTGTGTCCCATAGATTCCGATATGTTGTATTGTCATTGTCATTTAACTGTAGGAACTGTCTGATTTCTTCTTTAATTTCCTCTGTGGCCCATTGGCTATTCAGAAGTGTGTTGTTCAATTTCCATGTGTTTATGAGATTCTTGTGGTTTCTTTTGCTATTGATGTCTAATTTTATTGGACTATGGTTTGTTAATATACAGGGGATAACTTCAGTTCCTTTGCACTTACTTAGACATGTTCTCTGAGCGAGTATGTGGTCTGTTTTGGAGAACAACCCATGTGCAGCTGAAAAGAATGTATTCTGATTTTGTGGGGTGGAACATTCTATAAACATCTGTTAAGTTCATTTGTTCAAGAGTTTGATTGACTTCTAGTATTTTGTTTCTTATTCTTTGTCTAGTTGATCTATTTGTGACAATGGGGTACTGAGGTCCCTCGCCACTATTGTATTAGTGCTTATTTGATTTTTTTTAATTATTTGATTTTTTCATGTCCGTTAGTATTTGATTTATATAGTTGGGTGCCCTAGTGTTTGGTGCATATATGTTTATGATTGTCATCTCTTCCTCTTGGATTGTTCCTTTTATAAGGATGTAGTATCCTTCTTTGTCTCTCTCAATCAGTGTTAGTTTGAAATCCACTTGATCTGCAAAGAGGTTAGTTACTCCTGCTTTTTTTCGGGTTCCTGTCACATGGAGTATTGTTTTCCACCCTTTGACTTTCAGTCTATGAGTTTCTTTTTTAATTAAGTGTGTTTCTTGTATGCAGCATATTGTTGGATCTTGCTTCTTGACCCATTCTGCCAGTCTATTTCTTTTGATTGGTGAGTTGAGACCATTAACATTGATAGTTATAACTGATATGTATTGACTTATCCTTGTCGTGATTTTTTTCTTTTTGTTGGATTCTCCCACTTTGTGTTTAATTTCTTGTCGTGCCCGATGGATTCATTCTGCTGGGCTTCCTGGGGTTGTGATCCTCATTGTCTTTTCCTAGGATATTGTCTAAAATCTTTTGGAGTGCTGGATTGGTATTCATGAAGTTCCTAAGGTGCTCTTTGTCATGAAAGTATCTTGTTTCTCCATCAATTTTGAAAGATAGTTTTGCAGGGTACATCAATCTGGATTGGAGGCTATTTTCCTTTAGGGCTTGAAATATGTCACTCCAAGCTCTTCTTGCCTTGAGGGTTTGCATTGAGAAGTCTGCTGTGTTTCTGATGGGCTTGCCTTTAGATGTGACTTGTTTCTTTTCTCTAACTGCTTGTAGAATTGTGTTCTTCTGTTGGGTTTCTGGAATCTTAACTATTATATGCCTGTGTGTACTTTTTTTTTTTTAATCAAGGCTAGTTGGAGTCCTATATGCCTCACTTATCTCTATGTCAAGTTCTTTACCCCTGCTGGGGAAGTTTCTCCTATCACTTCTGTGAACAGTTTTTTTTATGTCATTTGCACTCTCTCCTGCTTCTTCATCGACTCCAATTAGTCTTATGTTATTATTCTTTGCATAGTCTTGCAGCTGCTCTATTGATTTCTCATGGTGCCTAACTATTTTAAAGAAATTTTTCTTTTCCTGGTGACTAATTGCAATCTGATCTTCTTTATCTGAAATTCTGTCTTCACATTGTCTCATTCTGCTGTGTAAACTTTCAGTGAAGTTTTTAATCTCCTGGAAATCTTTGCGTCTGTTTTATGGATTCCCTTTGTTTCCCATGTTGGGATTCCATCATGTTCCTCAGCTCCTCAGTTTTTTTTATCTTTGTCCACTCTAGACTTATTAATCATGTTGTGCACTGTGGGCACAATCTCTCCTGTTATCCAAGAAATTATTTCTGATTTCATTTTTCGCAGATCCTCTTTTGGTGCCAGTTCAGGGAGTCCAGGTAGTTGAGTATCAGAGTGTTCCATCTTGTTTCCCTTTGGGATTGCTGTAGGTGATCTGCAAGTCTGGTTTTGAGACTTATTTACGTGTCTTCTCATTTTAATGGAGGGGGGGGCTGCTGGCACCCATGAGGCTCACCTCCTCTGTGCTGGGGGCCGCTCTGCTCCTCACCGCTGCAGGGGGTGCTGTGGTGGCCTGAAAGGTCACCTCCTCCACACTGGGGCCAGCTCTGCTCCGGGCGCTGGGGGTGGTGTTACAGCAGCCCAGAAGGCTCACCACCTTCACGCTGGGGGAAGCTCTCAAGTCCTGAATTATTAGTAATTAAACAATTTTTTTTTCCTCCAGCTTCTGTCCCTTGATGAGTACTTGAGGTATTTATTTTGAACTTTCTGTAACATTGTGATACCATTTATTTTGATTCATTTGTTGAATGACTAATGCTGCCCATTCTTATTATATCTGCTGTAATCCACAGTTTCTTGAAGTTGTACAGTGGAAGAGTTATTCTTCGAACTGCTCAAGTTTGACAAACAAGATGAAGCAAGATGCCACAAGAAATCCTGCCTACACTGTGGATTGTGAAGATTTCGTGCATGTGGTAGAATTTAATCCCTTTGAGAGTGGGGATTCAGGAAACCTCATTGCGTATGGCGGCAATAATTATGTGGTGATTGGCATATGTACATTTCAGGTTAGTCTGCAAACTGCAATGAGAGACAGTGAAAGTATTTCACTGATATGAAAATGTATACAAGCAGAGCTAAACTTGGAAAGTACTGAATTTGATTGTTACGAAAAGAAATGCTTGGGCTGGGGATTTAGCTCAGTGGTTCCGCCGCCTGCCTTGCAAGCACAAGGACCCGAGTTCGATCCCCAGTACCAAAAAAAAGAAAAGAAATGCTATGAAGACCCAGAGGCAGACAGGCTGAGTAACATATGCTTGAGATTTGTGCAAACCGGACCTAGATGGTAAAAGTGCTCTTTTGCTGGATGTTTAGAAATGGAATATTCTGGTAATTAAAGGCTGTAATTGAGCATTGCTATATATAGAAAATAGCAGTGCAGTTAGATCCAATCAATTACCGTTTTTCTGCTTTGGCATAGGAAGCAGGTAATACTGAGACCCTAAAAAAAAAGATTTTCCAGGAACATTTCAGCTTTAATGATAGTCAGCTTTCTTATTAATTTACTATCTCACTTTCTATACCTTTAAAGTACGAATCTGGAGTTTACAAACTATAGGGTCCTATGAGCTGGGCAGGAAGTCAGGGCAGCCCTTGCATTCTGGAGATAGAAAGCCTAGGAGTTTACTTCTGTGTGGCCTCTTAATAACTGCACAGGTACTTAACCTCTTTTTCCTAAGAGGAAAGTAATGCTCACTCAGGTTTTATGAGCGCGAGGTGAGTCAGCATAGTAAAGTTCCTGGAAGGCATCGGGCACATGGTAATCTGCTTTAGCTGCCATTGCCGTGGCCAGAGTGACAGTCACGGCCCACTTCTCCATGGTGAGCATAGCCCATGTTTTCTCACAGAGCCAGCCTGCTTCTAAGAGGCTCAGCAATGCCGATATAACCCTCTGGGGCCTGGTTAATCCTTTTCTACCACAGTATCATTCATACAGCCATTTCTCAAATTATAGTTAATTGATATTTATTAATGACCAGTTTTCACAGATTTAAAGTAACATGATTTGCTCTTTTAGGAGGTAGTTTTGACATCAAAATGCAATTTAGCGTTTTGCGGTGCACTATGTATAAAGCTACACAATATTGGGCTGTATTCATATTTGTCCTAAGCAGAAATATGAGTGAAGGGCTTCAGCATGTTGGCATCTGAGTAAGCGATCCCACATCACCTGTTTAGGTAGGGGAGGGGCTTCCAGCCTGAGTGTGACCCTTGTCTGACTTTAGCTGGATGAGCAGATGAGGATCATCAAGAGTCCTGTGCTTAAGGCAGGGCTGTGTACTTTTTCAGATATTCTGCTAGAGGCGGAAGAGTTGGCTAGATAAACCTCATGGTTTTTCTGGTTGAAAGTCTGCCCTTGGCCTTACGTGGGTGTGGTGGAAGGGCCAGTTCTGAACCCTTAGAACAGCCTTCCTTTGCCTGGCTGTGCCCAGCCTCCAGCTGCAGGGCCTTGTGTGATCGTGTAATCGTCTCTGTTGCAGCAGGTTTTCCCAAGGCTCTTCATCGCCTGCCTATACAGTGCTACTTGTCCTCCCTCTGCATCCAAAATAGCGCTCACCTCTGTCTGGACTGCACTCATTCTGCCCTCTTTGCCAGCACAGTCGCCAGCGGTGCTGCCGGGAAGGATAGGTTTCACAGCAGCACACAGAGCTCAGGCTGTACAATCCCTGGGGCTTTGTTATCCCTGTGACTGCCCAAGAAACAAGTCCACGTCCAATTTGAGTAACAAATACAGAAGCTAATTTTTGCTACTATTGTTACATCAATTGTAATAGTGTGCCTTTCGATGTAAAAACTCTATTTTTAAGAAATCGATTTTGTTTGTCAAGTGTGGAAAAATAGGTGTAACCCAAACTGTCAAGTGAGCTATTCTTATCCTCCTAAGCTTGTTTTAAGATGCCTTAATGGTGGCTGCATTGGCGAATCCAGCTATGGTGATAACTCAGTTCACGAACGCTTCCGTTTTCAGACGCATTCGGCAAAATTTAGCTTCCATCCACTAACTCCACATCAGATGACAAACACAACCATGGCCATCTTCCCTACACAAACACAAACACAATCACAACCATCTTCCCCCAAATCGCAAAACAAGTTAAGTTTGTGAACCGAGGTACCACTGTATTAGGTGTATATACACACCTAATACCTTGTGTGTATAGCCAGTATACAGAAAAATTAGGAGATAGTAAAATTTGGTAGTTTTTCTTTCCTTGATAAGTGTATTTGTTTCATTTCATTTATGGGAAAATGTTTTGGTGCTAGGTCTAAATTCACCCGAAATTTACGTTCAGAAGGTATCTGAAGTAAAGCATGTAGGGAAAGACATGTCTGAGGTATGAAAAATAATAAAATGTATCCCCATATTTCCACCACCTTGCCTAAGAAGTAAGATATTAGAGACTCTTTCGATACCCTGGAAATCTCCTCTTGCTGCCTTCCTGTCACACCCTAAGAGGCAGTGTGCCAGAAATTTGGCATCTGTGGCTCTGTTTCTCTATGGTGTTATAGTTATGTGCAGGGTTCCAGGCCAAACGCTGTGTTGCTTTTCGTGTTTTAAATTTTACGTCAATGGTACTGGTCTGTGTTACGCTCTTCTATACTTTGTGCGGTAGCTTACCAGTGCGTTGTTAGATTCCTGCCTGTTGGCCCGCTGTGTGGTGCAACAGGACTATTATTGGGTATTTGGGTTACAGTAAGTTTTCCAGTGTTAAAAATATTGCCGATATGAACGTTCTTACTATGTTTTCAGCTTATGATTCTGTACCTCCTTTTATTTTTTCCTCTTTATTTAGAAGTTTTATATGCTGTTTCTCCTATTTTAACAGTTATCAGAGACATTTGGATGTCTGCATTTCATTAGCATCAAAGTTAATATTTTTACTCTCTTCATGCAGAAGACAGGGACCTGGGCCAGGGATTTAGCTCAGTGGTTCTGCCGCCTCCCTTGCAAGTGGAAGTCCCAAGTTTGATCCCTGGTACCCCCCCCAAAAAAAAAGAAGACAGGAAGCTCTCCCATTTGAGCTGTTACTGCTCCAGATTTATTGCTGTCCAATATCTTCCTTCTCTCATTTTTCTTTTTGTATTAACCCACTATATATGTGGCATGAGATAAAGATCCTGTTTCATTCTTGCACATGTTAATAACCAATTTTTCCAGCTCCATTTATTGAAAAGACTGTTCTTTCCCTGTGTGTGTTCTTGGGGCCTTTATCAAAACTGAGTTGTCTGGAAATGCATGGGTTTATATCTGGATCTTTTAATTTTTTTTCTATTACTGTGTCTTTTTATGCTAGTATTGTGCTAATTTGATTACAGTTCTTTTTTTTTTGGTACCGGGGATCGAACTCGGGGACCTTGTGCTTTCGAGGCAGGCGCCGGAACCACTGAGCTAAATCCCCGGCCCAATTACAGTTATTTTTACAAGTGTTTTTTAATAATCTCTTGCTGCCTGTTGATATTTTTTAATTACCTCTTGTATGCCTTTAAATCTGTATCTTTTTTATATCTGATTATTCTCTTTTTTTTTTTTTGGTACCGGGGATCAAACTCAGGTATCTGATTATTCTTTAAATCTGGTATCTTTGTAGGTTTGATTCTGCTGCTTGATTGTTTTGGTTCATGGCGCTTCGTTTTCAGTACAAGCTAGAGTTGGACTGAACTGTGTCTGGAAACTTCTGAGGCCCGGGCAGTGCTAGTGCCGCTACTGACACATCTCCACTGTGAAATAAGTTCTTTGTCGTTGTCTCAACTGTGTAGTGGATATGAATTCAAGCCCTGTCCTCATGCTAGGTCCAGCAAATCGTTGGGACTTTGCACCGTTGCTGCTTCTTGGACCTGGCCTTTACCTCCTGCAGGGATTTGACGGCGCCCCCTGCCCCTGAGGGCCCTGGATGTATGGAGGTCTCTAGCGTGGCCTCCTTCCCTGTGCGGGTGCTGAGCTTTGTCTCCTGTCCCCAGATGTAGCCCAGTGCCTATGGTGGCTCCACATCCTGGTTCTCACTGCTCCTCTGGATTTGGGTTTTCACATTGTTGTGGGGGTAGGAGAACTTCAGTTACTGTCTACGTTACTAGAGATAAATGGCCTGGCTTTTAAATTTTAACATTTTCCTCATCTTTTCATGAGGTTAGCAGAAAGCATCTTAGTAGGACAGAACTAGGCAAATAAGCTGACTATGAAGCATTTACTTACAGAGGCAAATACCCACGACCACTTGTCACTATTCATGGATTACAGTAGCACAGAGGAATCACCTGTACAGTGTTCACTGCAGCGTCCCATACTTTCTGAATTTGTTATGAAATGTGTTTACTATTAGAAGTACAGTACCCCATCAGATAAGGTATAGTATGTGTGCTGTTGGGATTCATCTATCCTAGAGATTGATTTTGTGAAGCTTACACAACTTTGGATTTCTTTTTTGGTTTTTAATTCTGATTTGCTTTTGAACTCTTCAAAAGCATACACACAACTTCCTGTAACTCGGTATAAGACGCTGTCCTCTTGTGTTCCCTGGGTATGCACAGGAGGAAGAAGCAGACGTGGAAGGCATTCAGTATAAAACCCTGCGGACGCTGCACCACGGCGTGCGGGTTGACGGCATAGCGTGGAGCCCAGAGACCAGACTTGACTCACTGCCGCCCGTCATCAAGTAAGTGTCCAAGTGTGAGGTGCAGGATTTCTCAGTGCGCTTCAGTTGTGTCGAACAATCCCAAGTGTAAGCATAGACACTGTCGTCCTCCAAGCCCAGATGACTAGATATTTGGCATTTGCTGTTTGATAACTTTAGGGCTGCCATCTTCATTGGTAGCTTCAGTGCGTCTGAGATGACACCTTGAGCATGTTTTGGGTCCACATTGCCCAGCTCTTTACCTGGAATTCATCTGAATCACTCAGAGTCTTTACAGCTTCCTTACTGACTCTACCACCTTAATTCTTGAAACTGCAGCTCTTATTAAAAGAACTGCATTTGTTTGGGACATCTGTGACCCTTCCTGCCCCACGTAGGCCGAGTTTGCGTATTTAACAGCACATAATCTGTAGTTCTAGTCCTTGGGCTTCAGTTTTTGCAGAAGCATTTAAAGTGATTGCTTTTTCAGAAAAATCTTGGCACCTGCTGAAACCTTTACAAGTGCAAGAATATGTTAGGTCATTTAAGGTTTGCTACAGATCTTGTTTCCTTAAAATATCAAATCTAAAAGATAAATCTTCATTTAGTAAACAGTAAGCCAGCCATTATTGAGATAATTTTCTAATTTAGGAACAACTTGTAGTGGAATTCTCAGCTTTGAAACGGTGTGATGATGACTTTTGACAAATGCATGAACTTTTCTCACCTCGCATGTGGTAATGCACACACAGCCGTCACCCTGGAAAGTTTCCTCAGTCCTTCAGCACCAACCCCTGAGCCCCATTCCGTGCTGAGAGCCACTGATCTGATATCTCTGACCAGATACTGGTTCTGCCTATTGTAGAACTTCATAAAAATGGGATCATAGAGAATGTGGGTTTAGGGGGAGAGCGGATCTGGCTGAGTGTTTCCAAGATCTTTCTCTTTTGAGTAGCACTCCATTACACTCACCTGCACCACAGCTTGTCGTGTGGTGTCCCGTCCTGTTCCCCCCCCGCTGTCCTCTAAGTGGACGCCAGGACGCTCCCAGTGTGCAGTTAGGGCCGAGGCTGCTGCAGTGTGCCTTTGACCAGCCGGTGGTGACAGATGGCTGCACTGCTCTGAGTGGCAGAGTGCTTGCCAACATGCTTGGCCCTGGGTTCAATCCCCAGTACCTACTGCCAAACAGGAAGGAGAGAGGAGGGAGGGTCTGTCGGTCTCTGACAGTTTCACTGTTTCATGTTCTGCCGGTGATACAAGGCTGTTCGGGTTGCTCTGCCTACTCCCCAGCATTTATTATTGCCAGTCTTTTTAATTTTAGCCACTGAGCATTTTCCTTGAGAAAAGTCTTGTCTACAACAAAGTTGTGAAGATGTTCTTTTTTCTCTAGAGGCTTATACAGGTTGTGTTAATTTTGAGTAATCTGTGCAGCAGCTTTTGTCAGCATACATGTGTCATTGCCACCAGCTGCTGAGCTGTTCGTATTCCTATATGTTACAAGGAAGCATTCACAGTATCGCAAAATAAACAAGAGCAAGTCTGTTTGTATTCTGCCAGTTTCAAAAGAGATGGAAACAGTCTTCTCAGTTTTTTGTTGTTTTTACGGTACTGGGGATTAAACTCAGGGCCTTCCCACTGAGCTACATCCCCAGCCCTTTTTAATTTTTTATTTTGAAAGAATCTTGCTAAGGTGCCCCGTTTGGGCTCAGACTTGTGCTCCTCCTGCCTCAGCCTCCCAGAGTGCTAGGATTACAGGTGTGCACCCCCACCACTGGCTTCCCTGGATTTTGATTAAGTTTTATGACGTTTCTTTAACCTGGGCACTGCTGGTATGTCCTACGCTTATGTCCTGCGCTTATTCCCTTCATTGCTTGGTGCTTGTTTTCCTGCCCTCTTTTTACTGCAGTTGCTGCATTTTAACATTGTGGGATTTTTTTGTTTGCTTTGTGGTTTTTTGGTAAGCTATCTCCGATCCTTCTTGGAACTATGCTAATATAAGTAATAAATTCAGAAAACGTTAACCAGCCATTAATTTTAAGACAAGGGGATGTGGGTGTAGCTCCCTGGTAGAGTGCTTGCCTCACATGTACAAGGCCCTGGGTTCCATCCAAAAGACAGTATTTTCAGAATAAGCTGATAGCATAATTTTGTTGTTTCAAATAAATTATATATTTTTATCCTAAAAATAACACATGCTTAACATACAAAATTTAGAAAAACAAATATAAAAGAAAAAAGTCACATACATCTAGTACTCTTTTAATGTTAATACATAATTATTCTCCACAATGTGACTCAACTTGAGACACCTTTTTTGCTTCGAATTTTCTTCATAGTATCCCAAGTGAACATAGTGTTTTCTTGCTGACAGTGAGGTGGGAGCGAGAAGGCAGAGGTCTAACTGAGCACCCTTTGCATCGTCAGCAAGCACCTTCCATTTAGAAAGAAGCCCCTCCTGCCGCTCTGGCCGTGGCCTGTGCCCGCCTTGCGTTTCATCCTTTCCCCGCCTTCCTGGTCTTCACATTGCTGCTGGCTTTGCTTTCCTGGTGGTCGGAGAATAAGTCACTCGCCTCTCGCCGGTTCTCTGAGGTGATCTAGTTTAGTTAAAGGGTGATTTACACATCCTCCTGCAGAGCAAAGACTCGGAAATGGAGTAGTCCCCAGCACTCGGGTAGTAGCTTAGTATTAGATTCAACACTTTGATGACTGAGGAGTCCAGAATGAGTGTTCTCAAAATAAAATATTTAATTTGCCTCCTACTTTTTTAAATGGTTTTTTTTTAAACAATAGATCTACAACCCCCTCCTAGACATGATTATGAGTTACAATAAAACAATTTGGTAATTAGATGGAGAGCTGGCAATACAGTAGGACTTTGATTTGTAAAGATTAAGAATAAATTTGTTTTGGGTTTTTTGCTTCCAGATTTTGTACATCAGCTTCTGATCTGAAAATCAGGTTATTTACTTCAGATCTTCAGAATAAAAATGAATATAAGGTATGTGGGCAAGTATAATTCACAAGTCTTAGAGTTCATTTTAAAATATCTGTTCAGTATTTATTGCTTTGTTAATTGTATTTATCCCTCTTAAAAATGACTTCAGGGTTATCTTCCTGGGATATAATTTAGGGTGTTATGTCCTCTGTCGCACACTGTAATATCTGGATTCTTAGTGACTGTTGCAGATTATAAATCTAGTATCACTTGTTAATAAAATATTAGGAAGGGCAAATAAGAGAATTAGAAATCTGCAGCTGGGTATAAGAGTAACATGCACACGCCTCGTGTCAGCCTCCAGGGAATAGGGTCAGTGAGTGGAACACGGAGCGGGGCTACAGTGTGGTCTGGTGCAGATCAGAGCTGGAGACGCGCGGGTTGGTCCAGATTGCAGGGTAGGAACCTTGTGGCCTCAGTCAAGCACCCGACTCCCTTTGTGTCTTGTCCTGCCTGCATGGCAGCGTAATCATAGCGTTTGTCTCGTGGGATTTTGAGCTTTGACTGAGTTAACTCATTTAGACACTGGGAACTGGACTTTTACATCATGAGCCCCACCTGTGTGTTTTCTGTCACCATAACAGCTCTCAGGTTGGGCTGAAATGTGTTTGCTTATAGCGTAGCATTGCTTTCTTGACTTTCTAATAAACTAAAATTATGTTACAAAGCAAAGACAAGCTGTTAACCTTTCCAGTCACTTAGAAAGTAGTAAAAATCATGCGCTAAACTATATGCAGTGGGCACACAGTGCCATCATGCTGGTTAATCTAAGGCTGTCTCATGAATAAATAAGCATATCAATGGCACATAAAATTTTTACTTATTAAAAATTAATGTGCTTGTTATAATAGCCAGTACCCATTTAATGTTAATTTAGTTGATCTCGTAGATTGTGTCAGGTACTCTGGAGAATTATTTGAAGCCCCTGGGTTTGTGAACATGACACAGAAGTGTGCCAACCTTTTACCCCCCATGACACATCCCTATACGGTGAGCAGTATAGCGGAAAACCACCTTATTAACCTTAGAACCCAGGTCAGATTTGAGTGCAAGGAAAGAAGAAAGATAGCCATTAAGAGAGTTAAGGGTCCCACCCAGCTCTACAGTCTGACACCCTGAACCTCTCCTGCTCTTGTAGTCATCTCTACCGTGCCGCTTCCCGCCTGTTCCTTCGTGACCAGGGGGGCTTTCTGTTTCGCCTATGGGCTTGCGATGCTGGCTGTCACCAGTGCCAACAGTCACACTGAGCAAGAGAACAAAGAGGTTAGGAGGCGAAGTGCATTTTATGTGCCTTACGGAGCAGGTGGAGGTTAGAAGCCTAGAGGGACCGTCGTCACCCAGGGTCCTCCAGAGGCGGCTTCATTTTTGTTTTAAGCTCTGTGTGATGAGGCAGAAAGGAGGTGATATGAGTACAGGTACCGTAAAAACCATGTCTGTGGTCTTGTAGGAAATACATCCTAGAAAAGAAAGGCTGGGCTAATTGTGGTGTGCAGAATGATCGACTTCTTTAAAATAAACTTGCCAGAAAAGTGTGTATGTAAATCACAATTTAAAAGTAAAAGATTGCTTTAGAAATATTTGTAGATAAGCATGCAGGAAAAGCTTTTGAGGCGGGAAAGTAAAAATGCTAGGTAGGAATATTGTCACTATTTTCCTGTGCTCTTACCGACTTTGTCCTGTCTTGTCAGGTTTTGGAGGGCCACTCAGATTTCATTAATAGCTTGGTGTTCGACCCCAAAGAAGGCCAGGAAATTGCAAGTGTGAGTGATGACCATACCTGCAGGTATGTTGCTTAGGTCACAACCACATTTTTGAAATTTCATTTTATTTTATAAGAACTATACTTTTAAAATTAGAGAAAGTACAGCTTTTATATAAAGTTCACAAAATGTAAACGAAGCATGCTTTATTTAAAACTGTATAAGGACCCAAGTTCGATCCCCGGTACAAAAAAAAAAAACAAAAGTGTAGGTTGGGCCGGGGATTTAGCTCAGTGGTTCCGCCACCTGCCTTGCAAGCAGAAGGACCCGAGTTTGATCCCTGGTACCAAAAAAAAAAAAAGTGTAGGTAAAGGTCCGGGGATTTAGCTCAGTGGTGCTGCAGGCTGCCTCACAAGCGCAAGGTCCTGAGTTCGATCCCCAGTATCGAAAAAAAAAAAAAGTCTTATAAAAAAGTGTAGGTAAGGCACAAAGGTGAATTTCAAAACCAGGAAATTAAGTTCCCACCCAAGTAAAGGAACTTCTGCTGATTCATGGGAAAGTCTCTGCTTCTTTTAGAGGTGCACATTTATAAAATCTAAGATGTACTGGATCAAATTCTCCAATATTGGGCAAGGTCAGGAGCATAGTAAAAGGCCCCAGCCATATTATGAATTACTTCACAGATCCTGTGTGAGTTAGCGTTTGACAGTGAACACAAGACTCGTGGGGAATGTACCGTTTTGACAATCTGAGGTCTTTTGTAAGGTTTTCTATAGATGCATGTAAGTGTCATGTTCTTCCGTGCCACCCCCAGTTTAGAACGGATGCGGCACCAATGGCATTTAATAGTGCCTCGTGCTGAACTGTAGCACAAGTAAAGAACAAGAACAGCAGGAGGAGAGGTGGAAATAAACTGGAGTCAGGAGTGAAATGAGGCAGGGTGTAGAAGAATGACAATTGCTTCATTTCCTTCAATAATACTCTGAGTGGAAGAAAAATCTGCTCTGCTGTTTTGCACAGGTTAAGTGTTCGATAAAGCTATGTTAGAATCATTGGAATTTAGTAATACTTGTATATGTACCTGGAAAACTGTTAAATCTGGATCACTTCTCACACAGCTCTTGGAAGTAGAGCTGTCAGCTAGTGTTTAAAATTTTGATCTTCTTTATATAGCTCACCTTTTTAGAGTCATTCTTTATGAGCTACCTATTAAAATTTTCATGTGAGAGACATGAAAGATTTATAGGATATTAAGATTCTGGGCCCCCACATATTTACAAAGCCAAGACTCTAGAGACCCAAGGAATGAATGGACCATTTTTAAGGTAGTTGGATCACTAAGAATAAATATTGGCATTTCATTTCTCTAAAACAAGAACTTCCCACATGATAAGCATTTGGAATATTGAAAGCTGAAGGGGCAAAATGGTTGTCATTGCAAGCCCAGGAAAACCTGTGAGGGAAGAGTGAGCAGCCAGGGAGACTAAGGAGACTCCAGGGTCTGTGGATCTTTTTTCTTCTCTGGTAGACTTGAGATTTTTCTTTTTTAAAACTAGTAACATTTTCAAAAAATATTGGGGACTGACACAGGGTCACCAACGTTTTACCAAGTAATACAAATGTTAAAGCCTTACTGCCCTTCATCATTTTATAAAGAAAGGACTGTATTACTTTATAAGATAGACTTTACTTGAGAGAAAGTCCTTTAAGTTCAGCTTTTTGAGCAGCTCCTCACAGTGCCCCTGAGTGCTTCAGCATGCTACTCTGTGGCTGAGATGTTCCCGTTGGGCAGCTCTTCTCTCTTCTGTCCACTCCCCTGGAGGGAGATTTTCCTCCCCGTTGACCATAGCTCTGTGACTCAGTCAGGGCAGTGTAATGTTAGCAAGTGTGACCCGAGTGGAAGCTGTATCTCGCTACCTGGTTCGACTTGACCTCATGTGCTCTGTGCTCTACTATCCAGTGAGCGTGTCCCAGATACCCGCTGGCCCCAGTGAGAGACACAGAGGGCAGGTGCGAACCCATCCAGCATTATGAAATGCTTCCCATAGATCACCAGCTGAAAGCTTATGCATATTTTTGTAAGCCCCTGAGATTTTGAAGTTGATACACAACATGGTTATAGCAGTAGTTAAGGAGCTAAATATGGAATTCATCAGCTCGGTCACCAGCCAGAAGTAAACAGCGACTTTGGTGTGAAAGCCAGCCCTTTTAGGCCGTGCTAAGCAGTGTAGATAGGACTTTTAGAAATATATCAAGAGCAGTAAGTGGCCTCTATTCTCACAGCAATAAAGGAAAGAAGGACGATTCTATAGTAGCAACGTTTCAGTACAGCCTTCGAAGGACAGAATTGTCAGGCTTCAGGGAAAGACTCCCACAGATGGGAGCTGTGCTGTCCGGGCCATGTACATCCTGCACTGCGGGTGACTCTTGGCACTTGGGAAGTGGTTCCAGCTCTACTCAGTCTGTGTGTTGGTACAGGGATGTTGGTAAAGTCCTCGTCCCACCTTGTCAGAGCCTTTGTCCCTTAGGAGTAGTTCTGTATGCAGTCATACTGTGCTGTTACAAACACACCAAATGGAATAACTAGGTAGAAGGGCAGTAAACAATAGAGAACTTGCACAGAATTATAAAACAGTCGTAAAAGACACACGAAAAATACTCCAAACATTTCCACTGTCAGCACAATACACAGTCATCTCAAGTGAATATGGAACTTTCTCTAGAATAAACCATATGTTAAGACTCAAATAACAATAGATTTAGAAAAATTGAAATCATGTAAAGTATCTTCCTAGGCTACAAGAGAATAAAACTAGAAACAATATTGGAAAAGCTCCAAATTGATAGATACTAAATATTGCCCTGTTAAACATCCAGTACGTCAAAGAATAAATAATTAGGGAAATTGGAAAATATATTGTGATGAGTAAGGACAAAATATAGTATATAAAACTTAAGAGATGCAGCAAAAACATTGCTCTCAAGGAAATTTATATCTGTGAACACCTACAATCTACATTAGAAAAGAAGAAAGGTCTCAATTAGTTTCCTAATTTACACCTTAAGGAACTAAAAAAAAAAAATCTAAACCCAAAACTATCAAAGCAAAAAAATAAAGATCAGAGGAGAGATAAACACAATAAAAAATAGCTTTGTTCTTACAAAATTGACAAACTGTTAGCAACACAGGAAAAGGACAGCATGCTCTGCCTAGTAAAATCAGAAGTGAGAACATTACTGTATCAGTCATTGCTTACCAGAGAGACAGATTTCATGCAAATTATACAAATATAGAAGGATTTACAAGGTAGGCTTACAGTGGCCACCTGTGGAATCGGGTCGAAGAATGCAAAAGGTCCGTCTGCGTGCTGGGCCTGGAGCTCACGTAGAGTCCGAATCAGGAGGCAGAAGCAGCTGCCCAGAAGGCTGCAGGGTCTGTGCTGGAAGCCAGGAGATAACATCAAGGCAAAGGTGAAGACTGGAGCTCCATGCAGGACACCAAATGAAGCAAGCCTTCATGTCCTTCGATTCCATCTGGGCTCCAAGCCTTTTGGGTGGTGCTATCCATGCCCAGGGTGGGCTTCTGTCCTCAGTGAATCCCTTCAGCCCCACCCAGAGCGATGCTTTCTCCAATCAGTGGACTAGTTTAGTACCACACACCCTCAATCCCTTGTCCCACTGTCCTACACCCCAGCCAGCTCTGAAAAGCCCCACCTATGAGCGCATGAGGGTTTGAGGGGACATCGAGACACCAGCCCTAATAACTACCAACCTCACGGAAATAAAAAGGATTCTAGGACAATACTTTGAACAGTTATATACTAGCAAATTTCCAATAAAAAGGAAAAATTCCCAGAAACGTAAAAACTGACTCAAAAAGAAAATGTGAATAGGCCTATGCCAAGAATTTGAATCTGTAATCAAAAACTTCCCAACCAAAGAAAAACCTAGGACAAAATGCTTCCCTAATAAATCCACCAAACATTTAAAGAATTAACACTAATCTTTCTCAAACAAGAGAACAAGAAACCGAAAACGGGGGCTGCTTCCACATCGTGAGGCCCCCGTTACTCTGATACCAAAGCCAGAGAAAGACATCACAGGAAAAGTGCAGACCAGTTTTCCTTGCATATGTTGGGAAGGCCTCAGCTATCTAAAATTAGGAACTCTTTGAAGAAAATGTAAAGCCCAATCTTCATGACCTTAGATTTATTAAAAAGCACGTATAACAAAGGAAAAATGGGTGAATTGGAAAGCATCAGAAAAACCTTTTGGGCATCGGAGGAGACTGCCAAGACAGTGTAAAGAGCTTCCTGAAGGAGGAGAAATATTCTCAAATCTTACATCTGATAAGAGTGTTGTGTTTGTCAGGAGCCAGGGATTTAGCTCAGTGGTTCTGCCACCTGCCTCGTAAGCACAAAGACCTGAGTTCGATCCCTAGTACCAAAAAAAAAAAAAAAGAGTGTTGTGTTTGTAATATATGAAGAACTCTTATAATTCAACAACAAAAAGATAACCCAAATAAAAAATGGGCAAAAGATTTGGATTAGCAGTTGCACAAAGATTTACAAATGGATAATCGGCACATGAAAAGATGCTAAATATCATTGATTAGGGAACTGCAAATCAGAACTACAGTGAGACACCACTTTATACTCACTAAGATAGCTGTAATTTTAAAAGCACAAAATAACACGTTTATGAGAATGTGAAGGAAGAAACTGGAACCTTCGTACTTGGCGTGTAACAATGCAAACTGGTGCACCTAATACGGAAAATAGCTCAACATTTCCTCAAAAGGTGGACAGTTATCATGTGTCCCAGCTAGGTCACACTGGGTCTAAAACTGTAGTAAATGTTTAAAAGATCACTATAGTAAAAGAGACACTGCCATTAGTCCCCCCTCACGGGACTTCTCTGCTGTGGGCACACAGCCCATCGCTCTTGGTGCTGTCTGCAGCAGCTCCGGAAGACCCTCTCCTAAGTGTCTGTAAGCTTTTGACCTATGCCTGTGTTCTGATGTTTGATGTCAGCATTTCCAAGAGAGACAGCATTATAATCAGCAAGCAGAGTTGTGGGCTTA